AGGAAATGTGCAGTTGCGGGAAGTGCCCGGGCTGAGGTTAACACATTTACTCAACTCCTGAAGCTAAGAAACAAATCTGAGGTACCTGTTCTTGAGTATGACCATTTTATGCTAAATTATATTACTGAACAGGGGCCCAAGGTGTCAGGGCCCCCCGAAATGACACGTGCCAACCAGGAAGACACTCAAAGTGACCCCAGAGGGACACAAAAGACCACAAGGAGATGCAAAGAAACTGTAAAGAGACACAAAATAACTACAAAAAGAGATAAAACAATCACAAAGAGACACAAAGCAACTACAATGAGACAGAAGGTCACCTCAAGGAGATACAAAACAACTGCAAAAAGACACAAAAAGATGCACAATAAAAAAGAGGCAAAAGCTCCTCAAAGAGACACAAAACAACTACAACGAGAGGTAAAACAATCACAAAGAGACACAAAGTTTCCTCAGAGAGACACAAAACAACTACAACGAGACAGAAGGTCACCTCAAAGAGATACAAGAGACACAAAACTACAATAAAAAGAGGTAAAACCACCACAAACTCTAAGTGTGCTGCTCCCATATAGGAGAGGTGGTGGGGCCTTTTGCATATCTGTGTCCAGGGGCCAGCGTCTCATAATCCGTCCAGGGCTACTTCACAGATTAAGATTTTACATAAGAATCATATGGCAGGGTTATACAATATGAAGCACATGTACAGATTAGACTATCCCCAAAGTATATAAAATAGTACATAGTACATAGTAGTACAATACCACCATTTTAACTCTAGTTGCCATGGCCCTGCTGATACGATTGCTGGCCCCTCCACTGACCGCCCACCCCCCCACCCACCAGTGAAGCTTCAGGGGCTGTGGCGTGCTCATTTTTTAAGATAGAACGCAAAGTTAGGCTTCAACTTATGATTACTTTTGTTATTTATTAATGTGCCGGTAGTTATCATGATGCATTAACTAAATGTTTAGTCTATAAAATGTCAAACAAAGTGAGAAATGCTCATCACAATTTCCAGGAGCCCAAAGTGACGTCGTTAAATTGCTACTTCTGTCCAACCAGTCCAAACCCTCGACTCTTTACTTACTGTTGTAAATGACGAAGAAAAACAGAAACTAGAACTACAACATTTTGGAAATTTTAGCTTGAAAAATGACTAAAACAAATAACTGATTATCAAAATAGTTGGTGAGCTACTTTCTTTCAATCAACTAATTGATTTATCGACTAGACAACCCAAGGCGTCCATTGGTACCAACCATGTCATCCTATAGCCTGTCGGGAAAGGTGTTAAATAATGTTCCAAATTTTGGTTATTTTTATGGAGGGAACAACCGGCTCGGCCACTTTTACAGGGTTCCCTTGAACTCTCACCTCAAGATATCTAAATGAAAATGTGTTCTATGGGTGCCCACGAGCCGAACTTGAGAGTCGCCCACGAACTTGAGCAGGCTTGTTTGTAGTAAATGTTTTGTTCCTTCAAATCAATGTGCTCCTTTAAATTAAAGCTGTAAATTTGTTGTTAAGGGAAAGGACAACCAGTCAAACATCACCTAACATGTACAGATACACAACACATTAACAAAGGATTGTTAAGGAACTCTAAACGTTAACTTTAGTGGTATCAGTCTAGATAGATAGATAGATAGATAGATAGATAGACAGATAGACTTGTGATTCAAATCCACACTGTCAACAGTGCACATAAGAACAACATTTTGAATAAAATATGAATGTAACTATACATCAGCAGCAAAAGTGCTGGTGCAAATAATAAATATAAAAATAAATATTAAAAATATTGTTCTTAAATTGCATGTATACTATGATAAAATGACTTGATATCCAACTATGTTTTTTTGGTCTTTGGACAACATTTTTCAGAGGGCCCCATTTGGCCACCCCTATGAAAAATGTCTGCTTGCGCCACTGACGTCATTGTGCGCACTTCCAACTTCTCACTGCGTCTGCTTAAAGTCTACACTGACAGATAACACACTGATAACTCAAGATGTAGCTTCACTTTTTAAAGGCGGTTAGTTTTAATAGCAGAGCACATGTATTTAAAGTATTTAGTCTGGGAGCTTTTTGGAAACGACGTCACTCTTTAACATGGCAGCCTGGTCCAACAGGTGGCTCAGAGGAAACTTTTAACTCCACTACAAACAAGTGCAAACAGTGTTAGTGCAATGAGCGCCATTCAGTGACCCGCGACAAAAACTATTTTGGCCAAAGATCAATAATTTCATTTAACAATGGCGCAACTAGCTCTGCTTTCAGTTTCCACTTACTTGCTTCTGGATGTTGTCCTGTCCCAAAGTGTTTATGCTGAGTCTTCTCCCTGCCAATAAAGCAATTATAATCCCATTGAAGCAGCGGGGGTCCTGGTCAGAGTGGACGGAGGTCTCCACAGCGCGAGGAGGGCACGGTCCTGCACGGGGGGACGAGGGAAAGGGGCTGTAGGCGCCGCGCGCTCCACGGTCATTCCCGAAAGCCAGCGACTGACCCACCCTGCCGGGTTAAAAATAAAGTGGGCGCATCCAGTACATGATCTGTGCGCGCAGGGGACGGACATTCCTGACAAGAGCTGGTGACTCTAAATGGCAGAGACACTTCTGATCTCATGTACACCCCCCCTCACACATACACACACACACACTGCTCCACCCCGCCCCGCCCCGGCTCTAATCGCACACACAACACCCTCAGAGACCCTCTCAGAAATGTCACCTCCACTGCTGCCTCTGCGTGCCATTCACATGCAGCTCAGACAGCAGAGGTCTGGACATGGAGACAAGATCCTCACATTCCAAAGGATGTCCATCAGTGAAAACACCTGTCAGACACTCTAACAGCAGCACATTTATTGAAGTATTTTGAGGTATTTTACTTAAGTATTTCCATTTTATGCTACTTAGGGTGAGGTCAGGACACTTTTTGGCAAGAAAACCACCTAAAACTCTGAAGACTACCCTGAATGTTATATATTTCTATAAAGAAAATACTGTAGCCTAAAACTTTAATTAAAAGCCCAGTCCCTTTTACCAGCCTGGTGTGGCTACACATTATGACAAATAAACACCTGTCTCAATTAGAGGCCTGGTCTGGTTGTGGAGCAGATCATTGTTATAAGTTCTTCTGATGTATAAAAACCAGCTTGTTGACTACCTCAAATTATATGTCAATTCCTCAATAACCCTGTAAGTTATTCATATTCCTTTAAACTGTAAGGGCCCTCAGATCAAAAGAATGAAAGGGGTTTTTCATATAAATTAATCCATGTTGTGAGTATTGTTTTAACAGGTTAAAGTATGCCTCTAGTGCTGTAACTCACTGTCTCTCTGATGCTCAGCCCCTTTTGATTTGGAAGAACTTAAATTATGTGTTATGTTTTTGTTATGTTATGACAATGTCTGGTTTGTCCATTCTGGGCTCCTGTAGAACATGGCAGACTCTGTGGAAGAGCACCCATTCTGTACGTAGATATAAACGGCTCATTCTAAGGTAACAAAAAGACAACACTTCTTTTCAGGTTATTGTAAAATCAGAATTATGAATACTATACGCCATCTGTCAAGAGATGCCTCTAAATCCTACACACTGGACCTTTAATCACTACATTAAATCTCGAAATAATCTTAAAGTATTCAATACAGATTGTCTTCAGAGCTACAAGCAACATTCTGTGACTGCTTATCCTATTCAGGGTTACGAGGAGGCTGGAGCCTATCCCAGCTGACATTATGTACTGTAAGAGGCGGGGTACACCCTGGACAGGTCATCAGACTATCACAGGGCTGACACATAGAGACAGACAACCATTCACGCTCACATTCACACAGGTAATTTAGACTTACCAGTTGACCTAAGTTGGCCAGGTTCAAACCCGAAACCCTCTTGCTGTGAGGCCACACCACTGGACCACTGTGCCGCCTTCAAAGTAACTTGTTGGGTAAAATTCTGACTAAATGTTTCTAAAAGGTGTAGACTGCTTAGAAAAGGGGCCCTGATCATCAAACCCAAACAAAAAAGATATTTTAAGAACAGCTTTTTCCATTTAACCTTTCCATTTAAAACAGGGGTGTGAAACATACCACCCGACGGCCAGAACCAGCCCATCAATGGGTCCAATACAGCCCACTGGATGACTTTGCACACCTAATATTCATGCACTTGTGAAGGGTGAGAGGTTTCAGGAGCAAGTTAAACAGTGAGTAGCTTTCTTCATGCAAAATGCTGCTTGCGAGGCTTTTCCACCCCGGACAAGAATACAGTTCTTTTCTTTTATGATCAAATTGGACAGTATGCAGCCCATGAACTAAAATCAGTTTGACACCCCTGATTTAAAAGAAGACAGAACTTCTCAAATATGAGGAACAGAAACATGAAGAAATACATGCAGGATTTTCCCCCCAAAAAACAATACACTCAGAAGGAGGTAATCCCTTTCGGCGGTATATTCATCAGCAAAGACTGCCTTCTGCCTGTATTTTCTTATTTTCCTTAGTTTCTGTGTTGTGACGTTTATGGGCGTGAACACTCGGAGCGCTCAGGTGAGGTCAGGGCTTTATAAAAAGGTAGCAAACAGGTGTCAGACCATAAGCAGCAGGCATCCAAGAGACACAGTGCCAAAAAACAAATGTAACAGGGTCAAATGCCAAATGAGTGTGAATCTGGGGTTTACTTTCACTTTCACTGCTGATACTGTTTACAAACTGTATCTGACCAACCTTGCATAGTGATCCTTAAGGTAAGAGAAACAGGGAAAGCACAAAATCTAAGCAAGCATGTGGTGTCAGCTTTTGGTACTTGACAGTTTTGGATGCTCCAGGCATATTTAAATCAGCACTAAAAGATAGAGGCTCAGTATCCGAGCCTACTTAGACTAATTGAAAATGATTAAATCAAGGAATTTAGGATTCTGATATACTATCACTGTACAGGACAATTAAGGACGTCACACAAACAGATGATTGAAAGAAATGGAGAAACAACAGTTCACTTAAAATATGTACTGTATTCATAAAAAAATGGCCAAACACACAGGCCACTTAACATCTTATTAGCAACAGGAAGCAGGGTGTTTATAATAAAATACATTTACAACACATCGTCAACACATAAATAACTTTTTACACAATGAAACGAGAACTTAAAAAATATATAGAAACACATAACAAAAAGATATCAGTACAAAAGGTACAATGTTCCTTCTCTCTGGGTCTTCAGTATTTGTGTCTCTTTCTCTTTGGTTCCCCCGGGAACGTCTTAAAAACCGAGCGCCGTTGCCAAAAACAGTCCTGAACCTTCAACTACTGTAAATAATATGGCTTCATATCTGGATACAGCTGACCCAGCTCTGACTGAGAACAGTCCTGCCTCTGATCGGCGTCTGCATAGCTTCAACACTGTACAAACAAAAACAGAATCACTTTTTAATATGTAACATCAATACATGCATTAACGAGTTTCTGTGCAAGCGGCTGTAAACACAGCACCGTGCTCTGCTTGTAAAAAAACAACCCCATAAAAACTGTAAAAACACATTCAACAGCATTTCAAACAGAAGGCAAGAGGAGCGCAAATAAATACGACTTCAGAAACAGGTGAGAAACAAAAGGCCTTAAACTCAGCTGACGCAGATTCAGGGTACCGAACTGTGTCTTTATCTTACTGCAGCTCTTATATAAAAACACGAGCATCATCCCGGAGCTGCTGGGATCTTCAGTATCTTGCTCAAGGGCACTCTAGCAGTCCAGATGCTTGCAGACACACGGGATTGACCCAGACAGCTTTGGTTGAAATCTGCCTACTTGGCCTTTGACTTGTTCTATAAAATCCACTACCTCCTTGTTATGCTACAAATTTAGGACTAGATTTCCTGCAGCGTGCTGCCGAGTGGTTTCAAATGTGCCGTCCCTACACAGATAAATACATATATTACATATAAAGTCTTAAGAGTAGCTAAATAATTCTGAGCTTTCCTCCAATACACAACCTTATAATTCAATACATAGCTTAGGGGCTGTAGAGAAGTTATCGGGGAAGTGAGGAGGGAGGTGAACTTTGTATTTCACTCTGTCAAAAAGCAAAGCCCCCCTCAGGGTTATCAATGCTTCCCTCAAACCTTTATAAAGTTTTTATTTATGTAACTATCAACTACATTGCAAATGAAGGCTGAAATAAAATTTGGGACAGGAAAAAAAACACTCTTATCCCCCCTGATAATCTTTGTACAGTCCCTTATATCTGCATGTTGCTGCAAAACTGCTGAAGGACATCTGAAGTTCATTTTCAGCAGAATAAGGCTACGTTCACATCACAAGGCAACGGTGGACCAAATCTGACTTTTCTGCACTCATGTGACACAGATCTGATTTTTCCACATTGTTTTTTCTCTAATTTGGTGTGGGCCACTTTCATATGTGGTCTTAGATCTAATACGTGTGTGATCACTGGCCGTGTGACCCCTGTGACAACGGTCTTATTGGAATTCATGAGTCAGCTTTACTATGTGCCGTGACAGCCTTGTCATGAGGCTCCAACAGATATTGGATTGTAGCCCTGGTCATCCTAAAGTTTGGAAGAACTGTTCCTCCGTGAAACCCTCCATAAAGTGGCCTTTTGGTCACACCCACACCTCTTTCTCCACAGAACTACCAGCAACAGCTGCTAACAGAGCCAGTGGACGAAAGCCAATTTGTACAACAGCCTATTATCCCAAAAACAAGTGCCCATATTTATCCAAAATGATACTTCTCCGAAAATATGCTACACACTCTCCCAGACAGCAGCACATGGCTAATAATTATGCAGAAAGATGTCATTGGACCTTGATCACACAGGACGCATTTTAGGAGCTGGAGGCGCCTTTTTGTAATTGATTTTAACGAGAATGAAGCTTTTTGCTAAGCTCTAAGAGCCTACAGTTTTTGCTGGGGCACTCTGAACGCCTCGAGTTGACAAAACTTCAACTCAGAGCAGGAAAACGCCTCACATCATCTCCGCCTTTTCTCCATTGTCCAATCAGATGATTTGAGATGCGGGCCTCCTGTGATGGTCATGACGTTGTTTACAGTTGGTAAACAATGGAGGAATAACTGGTGGTAGAGGTTGCTGGATACTCAGAACTATACAGTCCAATGATAGACAGCAGGTCGTCATACTGCCCCTGAGTCATCCTATAATATGCCTGGAAACGGCCATCATGGAGGAGAAGCCCCTGGACCAACTGGTGGTACTCCCCATGATCCACCCTCTTTTTTAGGGTCTCATGTACCCACACAAATCTCAGTTTCCCTGTGCCCAACAAACTATTTGCTGACAGCCTCTCACCCTCAACCAGAGCTACAGCAAGTACCCTCTGCCTCAACATTTTAGGAACTAGATACTGATAAATTTGAAACAACTAAAATAAATAAACAGTACACTGATTAAACGGGAATGAAGCATGTACAGCTATGGCATTCATCCTTTACCCCAAATGCATGCTCCAGAAATGTGATATTTTTTGTTGTTATTCCATTGCACATGTGTGTGACCTTATTGGTTGTATGTGAGTTTAAGGGCAGAGATCAGTTCACACTGACGTCGGATGTATGTCATTTCAAATGTGAATGTGAACAGTCCAGGCAGAACGATCAGATCTGGGGAAATAACTGCAACTGCAATGTGAACGCAGCCTTGGGGTTTTTAAAGTGGTTAACAAAAGCAGTGCCTGAGGAAATAATTACAAATATGTGCTGCAACAAATCAGGGTGAGACAGTATTTGTAAATAATTCTGTCATGTGTATGAATGTGGTTTATTTCACCAGGACGATTCAGGTGTTGCCTCAGTTGAAAAAAACTGAACTGACCTTCAAATGCTTTCCTATCTCAGTGTTACAGCTCTCATTTTATTGTCAAATCTGACTTCAAAACAAAGCCGTGAAGTATTTGCAAAAAGTGCCTGACCCTGATGTGGAGCAGTGTGATGCTGCCTTCGTTATATGGTCTCACGTGACATGTCACTGTAACAAGAAAGCTGGCTGCATCCATCTATCATACATAGATAGATAGATAGAAAGTAAACACTGGTGAAAACACACTCATGTATTAAATATACATCACATCAGTGTAACCTTTGATTATCTGTTGACTGACTTTTAAACCTCACTTTAGAAGGTTCTCTAGCTACGATGATGACCTGGCATCTAAGTCAAAATATGGCAGGAATCATTAGACACCATATAACTATCAAGGGAGCTAAATGGCTGATATTTATCAGGCTATAATTAAACATTTTAATCACATGAATGAATCAATTAGGTGGAAAAAACTTGCAGCCTTGGATAATTAAATCAATCGTCTAAACCTTAACACAATAAACTAAATGTGCCATGCAAAGTTATCCCCTCAGACACCTAACAAATCTTTGGTAAAACAGGATTATGATTGTTATAAGCATTCATGTACATTACAAATACAAAAATACAATTTCAATATTTTATAAAAAAAATACCTTCATATAAAAAAAAAAAAGCTGCTTCAACTTTGTGACGGGGGATCAATGTAACAGTGCTCTTAGAATTAAAAAAAAAAGTCAAGTAAATAAATTTCAGGTGCAAATTGAAACGACAGACTGACTCCGTGCTGGAGACATTTTAGTCTAAGTGCTCACTGCTAATGTGTCTTCATGAGTCCTGCAGATTTAGAGAGGAAGACATCAAGATCAGCGATGACTGCTGCCTGTCTTCTGGCGACAGTGTCCAACAGTCGGTGGGGGAAGGACGGAGTTCCAAGGTCCACCTGGAGAAGAACATAAAGTGGACATGACCTCTCTGACATGTAGTGCTGCCTGGCAATTGTTATATGTGAGGATGAGTCTGAGCTGAAGGCAGGATTAAAGAAACCAACATATCTGGTGGTATTAGGATTTTTCGAACGTATAAGGCCCATTCAGCTGTAAGCAAAATGCAGTGACATGGGTTCGAGCAGTGTTGACAATAATTGCAAAAGTGGTTCCAAAAAGAGGAGCAGCTTCCGTAGTGTTGAATAAACTGTGGCGTCCTGAATGTTTTATGAACAGCCTCGGACTTCTCAGACTATATTAGCAAGTTACTGCTCAGAGGGAACTCGTTCAGCGGCTCCTCTGGCAGCAGCACAGCGTCTCTCCCTCTCCTCTCTCACTGTGTAACGTTGTCCAGCTGTAGATGGGCACCACTTCCCTGGCTCAAGTTTGACTTTACAATTTCATGTTTATCAGATTTTTTTAAACTGTGTATTTCATCTGATAACAATACAAGAAACCCTAGTTTGCAATTCATAAGTATTAACTACCAAGTAATGCTGGCTGTTAATGTTGCTTTTTCCCACAGCCTTTTAGTGTTTTGAGACTCCCACATTCACACACACTACCTTTATCTATCTATGATCAACCCAAACATCTTTGTTTTTACTGGCAGTTAAACTGCTGCAGTGCTGCTGGTGAGCACAACAAATATATCAGCCCTCTATAGCAACTGTGTCTCACCTGAAGCAGGTAAATGACCCTGGTGGCTTCTTGTCCACCGCGTCTAATTGGCTGCAGGACCCAGCAGCTGGGCATCATCTCCCCTCGGACGGCATCCACACTGGGACGGGGCAGTGACTCCTCGAACACAGACTGCATTGCCAGCACGCACAAGCCACCCTGAGGCAGAGAGCAGAAGAAAAGCCATCAATAAAACAGGCAGTGCAGCCTTTTGATCAGCCGAGAGGCAACTGTACGCTGACACTGATAACCAACAGCTGACACGGTTTCTTCCACACCCACTGCCTCTGGGTCAGGGTTGTTTACGCGAGCCTGAGTAGTGTCTAAATATCATGTCGCACATTTTGTTGGAGACAAACTAAATGCCACACTGTTTATCATATATTAGTCTTCATTAAAAAAAAGACAGCGCAGTCCAATCCTGGTTTGCTGCCCAATAAATGGAATTTTCTCTCTCAAACTAAAGTGTAACTCTGTGTACAGCCATGCTGCAAATGCTCAGTGGACCTTACACAAGGGTGACTCGCAGTAATCATCAGGGCTGGCTGGCTGATTTTGCAGCTGTGCTTACCTGTTTGGACTCGGTGCTGATGCAGCAGAAGTCCCGCGGCTGGCTGAGGTGGCAGGTGGACGGATCTGTTAGTATGTAAACTAAACAGAAATACAGAGAGAAATGTGTCAGATTAGGAAAAATGGTTGATGAAAACCTGGGAAGAAAAGTAAATATAAAAAGAAGCAAGGCAATGAATCAGAACTTTATTGCTAAACAACACTGAAAAGCAATTTATTTTCCAACCTTTAGAAAAAAAGCAAAATTCAACATATTTACACAAAAATATGATGATCTCTTATAATAAACTTTACATCAGAAAGTAGACACCAATAAAATATCCAATCAGAGAAGAGAATATGACGCAAGACATTGTGACAAATACGACATACTGCAGGTGTGAGAATGGAGCTGGTCATGCAATACAATAAGCTTGTCAGTGATGAATGGGACTGTGTTCTTTACTGTACTATACATAGCTAATGGGTGCAGACGCATCATTTGAAGTGAATACATTTGCAGGGTCCATAAACACCTTGCAGAAATATAAATAGTTTTGCAGCAAAGACAAAAATATAAACACCTTTCTCTATTTATATTCTTGCAACAATAGAAATATTACTTGCAAGGTAAACTCTCCCATTACATGAAGCTTACATTGCAATAAGTATTTATGAGTATCTTATAAACTGCTACTTTTGTTAATGAGTATTTTCTCTAATGTTTCAGGTTGGCAGACAATGAATAAGAATTAAATAAGATTTTTTAAAAATTAGCATGTTGTGGAGAAATTCAGATCCTCTAATTATGTAAACGTAGTAATAACATAATGTAAAAACACTCCCATTACTATAGAATAGAACAGAAAATACTTTGTCTACTTTCTATATGCAAAAGGCAGAAATTTATAAAATGCAGTGACCAAATTTTTATAGACGCATGCCTTTTACAAGCCAAAAGATGTATAGCATTGACATGGAAAAGCACTCAGAGACCAGATTAGATTATCAAGAATGGTTTCAATGTATATGAGGCCCATTTGTAAGATAATATGTATGTTTGTATGTATATGTGTTGTTACTGCAATGTCATTGCAATGGTGTCTTGTAAATCCATGAAAGTTGGGCACATGTAAGTGTGCATGACATAAAATAAAAGTCAGTCAATAAATCAATCAGAAACTCCATTAAAAGGAGCACCAGGTACTCGATGGTGAGGACTATATCAAGTTAGAATAAATAGATATAAAGTGAAGATACGACAAGAAAAGGCACCGCATCCAAAATTACCTTGGTAAAACTTGTTGTAAAACTTATTGTGCATAAAAGTAAAAGTGCTCAATGTATTATAT